CCAGTACCCGGAATTACAGGCATGCGCTACTACGCCCGGCTGAATTTTTGATTTATTGTAGAGATGAGGTCTCGCTGCCCAGGCGGGTCTCGAACCCACGGGTTCAGGCAATCCACTCACCTCAGCCTCCCAAAGGCGTGGGATTACAGGCTGAGCCACCGAGCCTGGCTCTGGCTACTTTTTGATGTATTGTAGAGATGCGGTCTCGACAAGTTGCCCAGGCGGGTCTCAAACCCGCAGGCTCAGGCAATCCACTCACCTCGGCATCTCAAAGCGCTGGGATTACAGGCTGAGCCACCGAGCCCAGCCAGCTAACGTTTTTAATCATGTTTCTCTAGAAAAATGTATCAAATATTCAGGTATGGTGGCTCACACCCGTAATCCCAACACTTTGGGAGGCAGAGGTGAGAGGATTGCCTGAGCCTAAGGGTTCGAAACCAGCCTGGGCAACATGGCAAAACTTCTTCTCAACAATAAATCAAAACATTAGCAGGGCATGGTGGCTTGTCCCTGTGACTCCAGCTGCTTGGAAGGCTGAAGCAGAAGGGCCGCCTGAGCCCAGCACTTGAGGCTGCAGTGGCCATGAACGTGCCACTGCACTCCAGCCTGGGTGCCAGTGTGAGACTACAACTCAAAAAAAAATAAGTATCAAATAATAACTTACCAAAGAACTTTTGGAATATCACTCAGCAAGTCAAGGGCAGCATTTTAATCTAAATCCTGGATGTTAAATAGTGTAAGGGAGTAGTAACAAGAGAGCCAGCCTTAAAGAGAGAAATGGTTTGAGATCGTTTTCTCATTCCTTTGTTGTATACATTGTTTCTCTCTATATCCTTGATATACTTTAAGCAACAGTCAAATTTCACAGACTAGAGAGAGGTGCATCCCTTAGGCTAGGAGAAATAGGAATTTCTGGGAATATTTGTTCTGGTCCTGGCCTGCTATATAATATCCTTGTTTACAATTTGCTACTCTTGCCATAGCTTCTATCTTATATTGCAGCCTAAGTTAAAGTTGACCATGCGTTGTATTCACTTCAGAATAAGCTAGTCACAGTAGTCAATGTGATACATATGCTGCCTATTAACTACCTACAGTGAGATTCATTTGTGACCAGAAATGGGGTGGAGTCTAGATGGAAGTAGATGATGGCACCCCAGGCAGCTTCTCACTCTCAGAAGACAGGCTACAACACTGAAAAGCACAAATAAGAATATATTCAGTTTTTAGTATTCCTGAGAGTTTTTTAAAGTATTGTATAAAAGCGTGTATACATTTTTGTGATGAGTATTAGAAAAAAAAGAATATATCCAACCACTGTTGCAACCATAATCTATAAGAACCATTAGTTGTACTATCAGGTTGTACATCAAAATTATTAGACAGGCAGATGTGAAAAGAGAAAAAAATACACGTCAGACCTTGATAAATAGAAATGAAAGACTAATCCCTTGAGTGATAATATCAATGTAAAACATTCATATTGGAACATAACTTGGATACTTAACACTTACATAATGAAAATAAAAGTCAAACATGAAATACTGAATGATTAGCTAGAGAATAACAGTTCCTGATTTTCTAACATTGTGACTAACAAAACATTGTTTATATTTTTGTGTCTTTCCAATGTCTTGAATAAATAGTTATAAAAATTTTCATAATTTTATTTCAGTGATAATTTTGAATCTAAAAGAATAGTAAATATTGGATTTATCTTTTACTGTAGGACAGTTAATAGAATATAATCAATTCAAGATTAAAGATACAGTGTCATTTCATGATGAGATATAAACAAGTAATTGTTATGACTAGTTTTTAAAAATAATTACCAAGTATTTCAGTTTGGAAAAATCCTAAAGTGAGCAAACAGTAGCAAAATAGTTAAGTATTTTTAGTCTATTTTCATATGAAGAAAGTATTCACAAAGTTCCTTTTACTCTGAATGCAGCAACATCTCAATATCCTAGAACCTCTAAAAAGTTAGTATGAAATTCCCATAAGGGGTCATGTGAGTATTTTTGCTTTTATAGTGGCAATATTTTTAGCAATAATAAGGGGTTATCTTTAGTGCGCCATAACTTGAAATTTTCAGATCAGTCCTTTAAAAGCAAAACAAAGATTTACAAATCCTCAGTTTTCAGTTTCATTTTTTTTTTTCCAAATCTAATTACAGTTTAAACTATTTTATGATCAAAGTTTCTTTTTTCATTAAACCTCATCCTTCAGTTAGCTTCATCTTCAGGGCAAGCTTATAATGGAGGACAGAAAATGCCAAAGTTCGTCTACAAGTCACGCATCAATCTAGTTTACCACCAGTGTTTTTAAGGACTATGTGTATTAAACAGCAACTGGTAGCCTAATGCTTAGATAAGGTTTATGCTGACATTCTTCTTTATGGGGATGGTTACCATGGTAGTACTTCAGTCTTGACTTGTTGTCTTGAAAATAGAAGCAATGTTTGATTGCACCCAGATATCACCACGTGATTTGTATCTTTTAGCAATTACTCAGAAACAGATACATAATCCTTGTTTGTTTGCATAATAACTTTATATTTTAATTTACATATATAATATATACTGTATATTATATATTTTTTATACATTGTGTTAAATATATTTTATATGTTTTATTAATAAGATGTTATTTTTTAAAATATATATTTACTTTTAGCGCATAGTATCACTAGAGTTATAAAGTATTAGCCCTGAAAGAACTCTGGAGATCATCCAAAACAAACGTTCTTTCCCTGATGAGGAAACCGAGGTTCAGAAAGACAGGACAATACATGCCTAGGATATTATAACTTAAACATCCAAATATTACAGATTTGGACAGTTTTCCAGCTACATGGTTTTTCAACTATAGTAACCATTTATTTTTGCCTAAATATGTATCTAGCAGTTTGTTTGCAAAGTTGCTTGTAGTGTCAAGATTCAAAAAGAACATGCTACATATTAAGCAGAAAGGGACAAATATCTAATAAAAGATTAGTAAATTGACTTACCATTTTATAAAATTAATTTCTGTTTATAAGTTAAAGCTTTACTTAGGGAAGTTTTAAAAAATGGTCACCTTTACTTTATAATCATCTGTGCTTAAACAATTACTTTATGTAAGTAAATTAATGATAGATTTAATGATAAGGACAAAATACTGCCTTTTTAGGACTTCAAATGACTCACTTCAAATACTGTTTTCAGTCTATTCCCTTTTTTCCCTTACATTACCATTTTAAATGCTGATTTAACTATTGCTCTAGCCAACAACAAAAGAGGTGAATTTAAACAGCCACAAATTCAAGTTATCAGTGTCTTCTCTCACCCCTGGCCCTGTTCTCACCATAGGCCTGACTCCATTAAAGGAAATAGTTCAGAAAATTGTCTTGATATAAAAATTACAATTAGTTGAATTAATATAATTAAGACATTTTTATGTTATATTTACATGTAGTAATTCAGAATGTAATAAAAAGCATATTGTATTTTCCTTATGTTCAACACATAATAATTTTCTTTCTTTTTCAGCTTTTTAATTAAATGAAGCCAAGTGGGATTTGCATAAAGTGAATGTTTACCATGAAGATAACTGTTCCTGACATTATGTTATTTTGAATTCTTAAGTTCATTTCTTTGTGATTGTAATTAGCTTATTCTTGTACTTTTTTTAAAATGTGGGTTTTTCCTAGTAAATTTAATTTATAGAAATGGATGGTAACATTTAATAATCCACAAAGGAAACATGGAAGTGTTTCTCAAGCCTATTATATTCAGCGTATGCCACAGATTTGAAATAAATGACAAATGTAATAATGAATTCATGTTTTAGAATTGTTCACTCATTAGTAAAAGAAATCACAATGTTAGTAAAGGAAACCTATGAAATGTATGTTAAAGATTCTTAGTATTGTACAGGGATAAAGCATATGCATGAAAATACTGAAAATTATACTTGCTGCCGTTCCAGTTATAAAGGACATGCACTGTTACAAATAGTGTTTTGTTCTTATTAATGATAACTAGATAAAAGTGTATAAGACAGGGAGCTGAATGAATGGTACCTACAATTTGGATGATTACTTCAGGAATAAGAGTTTCTTTCTGAAATGTAAATCTGAAGCAAATATGGACTAAACCAACATGCCTCAAAGGTATCATGCAGTGGAAGCAACACACCAAAACTAGGAATATTTCTCCAACTTTTGACCAGGCTTCACGCCTGTAATCCCAGCACTTTGGGAGGCCAAGACAGGATCACTCGAGGCCAGGAGTTCGAGACCAGCCTAGGAGACATAGCAAGACCTCTACAAAAAAAATTAGCTGGGTGTGGCAGTACACACTTATTGTCCCAGCTACTCAGGGTGCTGAGGCTGTGGTGAGCTGTGATTATACCACTACAATCCAGCCTGCGTGACAGAGCAAGACTCTGACTCAAAAAAATAAATAAATAAATAAAAACCTTAGAAGTGTTATCCAGGAATTCAGACTTTTAAGAGTGAACATAACCCACTATGGCCAATTTCCTTTTGTGTTTTATGGAAGCAGTTTGCCATCAGATCCTCATTCCCTAAATTGAGAGGTTAGTTTTCCCAAGAGGAGTGAATTACTCAATGAAGCTTTTTTGAAAAGAAATACAGGAGTGTAGCCATTATTATGTTTGTATCCTGCTTTAGTTTTTAAAGCAGTTTTGCATACATTATGGCATTTGTTCCTTATAATAACCTTGTAAATTAGTCAGGAAATGTAAATTTTGTCTGGTGTGTAGAAGTAATAGAAGCTGAAAGCCAAAAACAATACAAAATAGAGCTCATAGCCAGGCTTTCAACTCTCAAATCTGAATTTTTATATTCTATGGCGCTACCCAAAGATGAATTTAGAAAAGTAGTTTTTCAGTCAGTACAATGAGTTTTTGCTTTTTTTTCCTTTAAGGTTTATACTTTAATTTTCATTACAAGCTGAATAATAGAACTTGGAGCATTTTGTTAATTGGGAATTCCAGCTATGTATCCTCAAACGAACCAGGTGTTGTACATCCACTGAGTTTACTTATTTTGTACCTATGAATTTCAATGAAGAATGGGAAATATAAAAGTCTACTAGGACAGGTTTATCAAGTTATATCCCAGGGCAGTATGTACGCTAGAAGGATGAAAGCTATCTTTTCAAAATATAATAATCAGTGAAAATTACATAGTAATTTAGAACTATATTAACCTTATCACAGACTCCCAAATCTATTAATAATAACATTGATTTTCCTCATTCTCATTCATGGATTAATAGATTTAGTATTGGAATGGCATTTATGAAGAAGCATTAGGTGAACATAGTCTTTTGTTCAGTGCCTATCCCTAGACTGCACTTGACTTGCAGTTCTTAATCTGTTGCATATTTTTTACATTTCCTACCATTCATTCAGAATTTCAGAGGCTATAAATAGAGTTTGTGGCCAAATTTTATAAGTAGAAAACATTTATTCACTGTAATCACTTTTGTTTGTCCCTTTAAACCCCAAAATTATCTTCTGTCAACATGCAGTTGATTAAGTGATACTGACAAAATACATCTAATTTCTATATAAGGCTCCATAACTTTTAGTCATGACCAAAAGCTGGTCATTCTCAGACATGATGAGATAAGGAGTAGTACTTTTTTATACCATATTTATAACCGTCTTCTAGCCTATATTTTATAATTTCCTCTGAACTTTTAGAATAAGTCCAATGATTTTTTTTTTTTTACAAAAAAAGATTTTTTTTCATAATTTCATAGTTTAAAAACTATGTCTTCTCTATAGACAATTGTTGTATTAGGGAACTGACTCCAGAGGGAAAGAAACCGTCCCTGCGTAGGTCATTATAGACTGGAAAGTGCCATAGGCAAAACTGCCAAGTGGCTTGAACAAAATTTGTTTACAGAATGGAATATTTGCAGAATCACATATGTAATATATGCTATGTTTACCTTTGCTAAGTAATTAGAATTGAATAACTAATTTGTATCTGGTATGTTATATCCCCCAGTGTCCCTTTTCAGCCAGATTCACTGTGTTGAAAACGCTCATAAAAATTATGTTTAACAATCTTCAGTTAGAATATTAAAATTTACTCTTTTAGTAAGTTGGGGAGAAAAATCCTAATATAGAATTCTATCTAAAGGAGTTTTATTTTAAAATAACGTCCAATGAATAACTTGCTGCATTTTGTTCAACATATTGTTCCTTGCATTAGATATTCATATCAGTAAACCCAATACTGTTTTGTGCTTGCTGTACTTTTCTACTACACATAAAATAATACCTTTGTCAATTACATTTCAGCAAGCATGACGATTTAGAGAGCTTAGATCTTGCTGTAACCATAAAGCTTGACAAGTATTCCCTTTCTTGCTATTATGAGGACCTTCCTAAGGATATGTGAAGGGAGTGGTTATTCTAAATAAGGCATGCCATACTGCTGTTTTTTAATCAATGACATTAAACATTGTGTTTTTAAAAGGACTGGTGACATGGACAAACACATTAACTAGAGCATCTAGGGAAAAAAATATTTGAATAGACTCTTGGAAACTTAATGTTCGTCAGAGTCTACAGAGTCCATTAAGTTTAAAATATGAAAACAAGATACTTTTCATACTCTAGCAAGAAGCAATATTGGGTCAGACCTATAGTTAATAAGTAGTCTTTTTTTAATAGTGCAAAAATGTTGAGCATTGTAGCTAGTCATACTCAAAGGATACAAGTATCTATTAATCCCTAAAATTTCCTTATGTAATTTATGAATACAGTATCTGTCACTTATGAATTTTTCATACCCCTTTTATCTACTTAGATGTTTAAAATATAGACATATTTACATTATATAACAAGAAACTAAGTATTTATACAAAGTTTTCATAAAGCATCTCACAATCAGACTACCATAAGAAAATCATATCACACTCACCCAAAGGTTGTATGTCTATTTTCATTAAAAGTTATGCATACAAGGGGGAAACAAAAACATGAAATTATCTTTTTTTGGGGGGACCCTTATAATACAGGCTTCCCTCACTAAGTAAGTGTTCTAGGATCCCATCAGCATCAGTGTACCAGTTAGCATTGTTGCGAGATGCTGTTTGGCTTTATAATTTTTTTTTTTTAAGATTATTTCAACACATTTTGCCCATTTCATGATGGGTGTTTTACAAGTGAACATGCCCACACTTTGCTGACTGTTCAGCAATTTTGACCAAAATGGCATGACCCCTGTGTCCCACTCTTCTATTCACCTGATCTAGCCCAGAGCAACATTTTTTTCTTTTCCCTTATGAAAACAGTTCTCAAAGGGAAACACTTTGCTGATGTGGAAGAAGTGAAACAAAAAAGCAGAAAGCCGGACTCGGTGGCTCAACCTGTTATCCCGTGCCTTTGGGAGGCTGAGGTGAGTGAATTGCCTGAGCCCGCGGGTTCGAGACCCGCCTGGGCAACTTGGCAAGACCTCACCTCTACAATAAATCAAAAGCTAGCCGGGCATGGTAGCGCGCGCCTGTAGTTCCAGTTAATTGGAAGACTGAGGCGGAAGGATCGCCGGAGCCCAGCAGGTTGAGGCTGTGGTGACCGGGAGCGGTCACTGCACTCCAGTCTGGGCGACAGAGTGAGACTCCAACTCAAAAAAAAAAAGCAGAAGCACTAAAAGGCATCAAAATTGACGAGTTCAAAAACTGTTTTGAGCAGAGGAAGAAGCATCTTAATAGTTGTATTGCAACAGAGAGTACATTGAAGATGACTAAGTATAATCATATAAGAATAAATACACAATTTTTGTAAATAAATTTTGAGTTTTTGGTCCCCCCTCATATATATCAGCAAAAATGACAGAGTGAGGAATTCCAGGGACATGCACCTCCTTAGATACACCAGAAAAACAGGCCAAAACTGTCAGAATCAATTTTATTGGAAGTCTGGAAAATAGAGGTTTACAACAAGGAAAATGCTTGAATCAAAAAGGGACTGAAACTCAGCTGGTAGCCTAATGGCATTTTATCTTAACCTTCCCCTCTTTACCTCCCCAGTCAGAAATGATCTTGAGGATGGCAGCATGCATTTCTTGTGTGGGTTCCTAGTTTCAGAGAGAGCAGAATAGACCTTGTTCTTGAGAAATGATGTTTGCTTTGACCTATCTAGAGGCTTGCTTTTGTTTTTAGTAACTCAAAAGTCTCTCAGAGTGAGAAAGTAGATACGTAGAAAATGATTTCTTGCAAGCTTTGAAAAGTAAATGAACAAGCCACTGCCGCCAGTGACAGAGATTGCAATTGGGACAAACAATAGGCATACAGATGAAAGCCTGGAAAGAAAATCTGAAGAGTGAAGAGTAAAATACTTTAGAGAATAAGGGCTTTGAAAGCTTACACACACACACACACACACACACACACACACACACACACACACACACACACACACACACACACACACACGACAGGATTTATGCTCAGGAGAGTCTTGAGAAGATTCTAAGCTTTCAGCCCCTGCTGAATTTTTGAAGGAGTGCCCCAGTACAAAGCCTGCCTACAGGGTGGGGAAAGTTGTTTTTTTTTCTTTTTTGTCTCAGGACGTTTAAGGAAACTTCTGTCAAATGACTAACCAACCGTTAAGCTAATGGAATTGAAACAGACTACACATGACAAAGAATATTGTTTTTTTACTAAAATAATTTAGAAAAGTCACTAAACAAACTATAAACAACTATAATCCATAACAAGCAGCCACAACAAAACTTGAGGAGAGAGCAAAATCTTATTTTTAGAGTTGCCACATTATAATATTTAGAATAGTCAGTTAATAAAAAAGTAAGACAATGAGACAAGAAAGGATAGCTTGTTCACAAGAAAGAAATTAGTAGAAACTTCTCACAAAGCACAGATACTGGGTTTACTAGACAGGGACTTTAAATTAATACTAATATACACAGACCTAAAGGAAACCATAGGCAAAGGACTAAGAATGATG